GCTCCTTTTTTTGTATCTCTTCTCATAAAAAGAAAAGACCTCGCAGCGCAATCCTTGTGCTTGTTCAAGACAGAGAGAGCCTTCCTTGCAACTAAGTCTTGGAAAGAGGCAAATGAGAAGTCTGGAGCTGATGAAAAGGTTACCACGACTCAGAATTAAGCTGAGATTGCTGCGACTGAAACTCAGAGCACTTACTAACCACTATATGATCCGAGCAGCTGGTGGGAGAAGCTCATGTTAGAAGCCCTCTGTCAACTCAGCTGTGGTTTTCTGTGCACAGAGAGCCAGACACCGAAGGTCTGCAAGTCGTGAGGGAAATGGGGAACAGCTGTACTTTGGAATTTGAAGGTGTTGTCTTAGACCATCAAGTGGAACAATTGCAACCAAACCCTTGAGGCAGGCACTATGGCTTAGCTGGCTAAAGCACCTGCCTAGTAAACAGGAGATCCTGGGTTCAACTTCCAGTGGTGCCTTGTTGTGTGGCTTTTGTCTCCTCGGCTCACATTTTCCTCTGTCTTTCTAGGACACAGAAGAGACTTCTCTTGGCAATCCAAGTAATTGCTTGCTAAGGAAAAGGCTTCTTTGGAGAAGAGCATTGGAAAGAATCAAATCGTAAGCCTGGAGTTGTGGAGCTCCCAGAAGTTATTAAGGGACAGAGACTCCTCAATGCCCTAGTAACAAGGGTTTGGGGTTCCCTGAGGCCAGTAAGGGGGTCACTATGTCTGCCTTATAACCCTGGGTGTCAGGTCACAAATCTAGGGGCTTGGCTACACTTGCAAGTTAGAGCACATTAAAGCAGCCCCAGGCACCCTAACTACTGACGTGTAATGCTGCTGTTGTGCGTGTGTGTGAGACAGGGGGGTCTGCTGCTGTCTGAACACACAAGACAGCATGCTGACACACTCTCAGGCCCCTAAAACACACTGTCTCTCCGCCCACGTACACACAACACACTCCCTGTCACACTCCACCCCTGCCCCCTGTTTGAAAAGCACGTTGCAGCCACTTGCACACTGGGATAGCTACCACAATGCACTGCTCTCTGTGGCGTTTAAAGAGCTGCTAATGTGGCCACTCCAGTGCGCTTGCAGCTGACAGTGTGAACACACGGCAGCGTTTTCCCTGCTGCGCTCACCGAAGGTTGGTTTAACTCCCAGCGCTCTACATCTGCAAATGTAGCCAAGCCCTAAATTTGCCAGACCAACCTAACTAAGTAACTGCCCTCCACCATCATTTGCAGTGAGTAGGGGCACGCTGAAGCACACACCACACTTGCTGGCTCAGCCTTGAGCATGCTGGGGTGGCCACCTCCCCGTTGATGAGACCTGGTACCACCATCTTCGTGGAGCTCCAGTCTGCCCTGCTGCCATCCCTGTCTGTGTTGTCTTCTCTAGCAGTTGACTGGAAGGTGCGTGTTGGCCCCATGCCATGGAGCTATGTTGTCTCTAAGGGCGAAAGCAGGAAGAATGGTGCCTTCATAACCCACCCAATGTTCCACAACATCATTAAGGAAAATATTTCTCAATGAACGTTCAGTAAAAGATCAGAAACAGCCAGTGTCTGCATCAGTCTACGATCATTGGTATTTTCTTTAAATTTGCCAGACCAACCTAACACCTACCACACATTTGAACCTCTTCTTTTCACACCCTTGCTCACAGGGCCAGCTTTAAGCCGATTCGGCCGATTCCCCGGAATGGGGCCCCGCGCCTAAGAGGGCCCCGCAATGTCCGGGTCTGCCGGCGGAGCGGGAAAAAAACAAAAAAAAAAGCCGTGTCCTGCTTCTCCCCCCTCCCTCCAGCTTTTGCGCCGCCATACAGCTGATCACCGCAAGCCTGGGAGGGAGGTGTGAGGAGGAGGAATGCAGCGTGATTGGGGAAGAGGCGGGGCCAGGGTGGGGATTTGGGGAGGGATCCAACGGGGCAGAGAGGGGACGGGGCTGGGGGCGGGGCCAGTGTGGGGATTTGGGGGGGATCCAATGGGGCAGGGAGGGGGCGGAGTCAGGGCAGGGGGGGCGCAAGACAATTCGCGTCCCGGCGTGGGGCCCTGCACCTGCTAAAGCCGGCCCTGCTTGCTCATTCTCAAGGTCTGCTTTGTCTCCAGACAGATCCATTCTCTTTCAGAACAGTCTTGCTCTTTGATGTGTTGGAGTAAACACTCCTATTCACTCTATTCTCAGAGAAACACTAGTATTAACTGTTTGCTACTGATGGGTTTAGAAAACATTTGTCGAGTAGAAGATGCCATTTCTGGGGGATTGTTCCCAAGATGCAGTACTTTGTGTTCAAACATCTCCCAGCTTCCTTGGTAAAAGTAAGACCAAGGTTTCTTTGCAATATACAAGGAGAAAGTAGCTTTTCACCCCAGATGGGACTTGAAACCACAATCTCTGGCTTAGGAAGCCATTACCTTATCCATTAAGCCACTGAGGCCCTGAAGAGCAATTGTAAGAGGGCTGGAAATTCCCTCTCATAATTGCACATTCCTCACATTCACTTGGAAGCCAAATACCCCCTTTATGCGCCTTAGAGAAATGTCTGCATCCCCTGGCAGCGAGGCAACTGGGCAGGTCGCTGACACAGCTGAGCACCACCTTTCTGCCAGCCATCTTTAGAGAAGAACCCCACCCTAGAGTCCCCCATCCCTCCATCAGCACCTCCACGTCTGTGGCTCTGAGTGGCAGTAGGATGATTGGGGGAAATCTGGGGCTGGAAGGGGGTACGGTCAGCCTGTAAGGAGTAACCAGGTGGGGCAGACCCAGTGGGAGGCTGTGGGCTGCTGGTCGGTTGTTGGGATCAGAGCTCTAGATCAAAGCTGCACAGCGACCTGACACCCAGGGTTATAGGGCCTACATAGTGACCCCCCTACTGGCCTCGGTGAGCCCCAAACCCTTGTTACTAAGGGCATTGAGGAGTCTCTGTCCCTTAATAACTTCTGGGAGCTCCCCAGCAGGCTGCGGGCGTCAGCCGCCTCCTGCCTCACAGGTTAGACTCTTGGCGCTGTGCCAGCCGCCCCCTCGCTTGCAGTCCCAGTGTGAGAAGAAGGAGGCCTGGTGCTGGCAGAGGAGGGTTTTGATGAACTCGTGTTATGGGCCCAGCACGCTTCCTCTGTCACTCTGCTGGCTTTTCGTAAGCAGCACCAAGCGGCCCTGGCTCCAGACTAGTGCCCTGCGAGCTCTGGCACTGGTAGGAAGCGGTGCAGGGTGCTGGGCAGTGGCCCTGGCAAACCAGCTGCTGGTTGGTGTCTCTGTGGTATCCTGGGTCAGTGAGTTCAGCTGTTAATGGAAAGGAGGGGGTTTCTGCTCCCCCAGGGATGCCACTGAAGGCTCCTCGTGGGCTCCTCAAAGTCTGCTGGGAGCCGTGATGTCCCCCTATTGCCACCTCGAAGGCTCCCTCTTGGACACAGTGGGGTCACCTGCTGGCTGGAAGAGTGTGGGGGCCGCACCACAAAAGCCTGTTTCCGAGCAGCCACGCCGGGGACTTGGGCTTAATCCAAGTGCAAAATCTTCAGTTGTGCACGTTTTGCTCCCTTCCTGCCTCTGCCCAGTGGCGTAGTCAGGATTTAAGAGCAGGGAGAGCAAACATAAAAAAGCCGCTCCGTGCCCCCACCTTTGGCTGACTCCTCCAGACCCATCTATTGCTAGGGCCCTGCAGGCACCCGGGAGCCCCCTGCATGCACCCTGACACCCCCCACCGTGCTCCGGGCCGGGCCGAGCCGCTGTGGGGTCCACATCCCTTTAAGAGTGGGGCTGGGCTGAGCCGAGCCGGCAGGGGGGTGGCTCCACTCCCGACTGCAGGCTGATGCCGGAGCCTGGGCTGAGAGCCCCGCTGATCTCCGGCACCAGCTCCGGGCGGGGCTTTGCTGTGGCTCCCCCCAGGCCGGGCCATCCCCTTCACCTGCACAGTAGGGGCGGGTTGCATGAGGGCAGGACCTGATGCCATCTGCCTGGCGGACCCTGGGGTGCACCGGGCGAGATGGGGTGTTGCGGGGGACATCGGGCAGAGGGATGGGGCACTGGGCCCCGGGACAAGCACCCAGCACGCGCTTGGTCACTCACCTTTCCATCTGGGCCGAAGGGGAGGGACTCTCCGTCTCTTCCCCGACTGTGGAGGGTGCGAGGTCCCGCTGGGTCTCCGCGGCCTCGCTTGGCCTCAAGGAGGCAGTGGCTCCGTGGAGCTGGTAGTCCGGCCGGGGGGCTGCTGGACGCCCGCTCCTCCATCTCTGCCTCCCCCCAAGCACAGAGCACGCCAGGCGTGAACCCCATCCCAGGTTAGCCCCCTGCTGGGGCCGAGAGCTGAACAGGCCTGGCAGGGCAGTGCGGGGGCTGCTGGAGCCTGGAGGGGGAAGCTGGGGAAGGGGTGTCACGGCCTCAACCCCCTGGGGCTGCCTGCCCTGCAGAGGAGGCAGAGGGGTGCAAGCCGCAGCAGGACCCCAGCCCCCCAGGAGAGGGGATCTGGGGCCAGCCTGGGGAGGCAGGAGCAGCCCCGGGGGTGCTGGGCGCATGCAGGGCAGAGCCCCGGGAGAGCCCCAGCCCTGTGGCAGGCAGTGCTGCAGAGGAGGAGCCCGCGGCGGGCGAGGGGCAGCTGGCGGGCAGATCCCCTCTCCCCGGCAGCTTCCTGCTTCCCTCGGCCCGGAAGCAGGAAGTAGACGGAGAGAGGGAAGCTGCCCGCCAACTGCAGAGCGCTCGGCTGCCGAGCCCTGAGCCGCCGCAAGAGGCAGCTGCGGCAGCGATGTTGGGGCCGCGTGGGGCGCGACGGCCGAGAAGCTGGTTCCTTCGCTCCTCTGGCCGCGCCTGCCGCCCCCCCCCCATGGCTCCTCCGGAGTCCGGCCGTGCTGCCCCCCCCACTTGCCTGCAGGACTCCAGTGGCGGCCCGGCAGGTGCCGCTTTTGAAAAATTTACTGAGGGGAAGCGGCTGCTTCCCTTGAACCCCCCTAGCTACGCTACTGGCCTCCGCCCAAGCGGCAAGCGAGAAACGGACGAGACACGCCGGCTCAAAGACGCCTCCCTCCCACTTCCCTGTTTGCTGCACGTAGTCCTTGGCCTGCCTCATGCCTCATCAGGGAAGGGCGGCCATGCTGCCCAAGCCTGAGTCACGTCTGCAGCCTGGCCCGCCCCGGCTGATGGAGCGCAGAGCCACGCGAGTCAATGGCAGGTCGAGTCGAGAGCCTCGGCTCTTTCCCCTGACAGCCACACAGAGCTGCCTGGCATCCCGAGAGCCTCCCTGGTGTTCTCCCGCAGCAGCCGCCTGCCGGTGTGGGTGGGAAAAGGGGACGAGGAAGCACTGCTGCCTCAGGCCGGGACAGGAGGCCCTCACCATGCCCAGGCCTGCCTCTTGCCTTCAGCCCAGGCAGCCAGAGGTGCCGGGGAGCTCCCTGGCAGGCTGCCGCCTCAGCCACCTCTTGCCTCATGGCTTAGGCTCTTGGTGCTCTGCTGGTTGCCGCCTCGCTTGAAGGGCCAGAGCCAAAAGAAACA